GATCGAGTACATCGAGGCGCGGGTGAGCGGGCGGCGGGGCGGGGCGGGACGCGGGGCGGGCGGGGGCTGAGCGCTCGCTGTCCCCGCAGGTCACCAAGGGCGAGACGCTGACGTAGACGCCGCCGGAGCCCCCCGCGCTCCCCCGCCGGCGGGGCCGCGTTGCCGGGGCCGCGGAGTGCCGCTGGGGGTCCGGCACAGCGCCCGGCGATGCGCATCTCCGTCTCCTCCTCCTCCTCCTCCTCCTCCTCCTGTCCGGGAGCTGAGTGGCAAGAAGCGAGAAGCCGCCCCCCGCACCGCCCCCCCGTTTATCGCAGTTCTTCAGCGGGCATCCGGATCCGCAAGCACACTGCTCTTGTTGAGTGTTTCGTTGGGAGACCGCGGGGTTGGCGGCAGTAAAAGTCTTGTTGCTTCCCAGCAGGCTCGGTACATTATTCTGCAGCTCCTCGTGGTGCCGATGTGACACCCAAATGCCTTGTATTCCCCTTGTTATCCCCCTGCTGCCAGCCCCGACCTCAGCTGGGTTGCTCCCTAGAGTGCATTCTACCTTAAGGTTTCCCTGTCTGTGGGAAGCTTTGCTTTCTGCTCTCAAAGCAAGAAGACTCCTCTAAGCCATCTCAAAGCTGCGTAGCCAGCTGTGGGTGCCCGTGGAGGCAGTAAAGGCCAGCTTGGGTGGGATCCTGCCCAGGTGCCTGGCACCCAGCCCAAGGCAGGGGGTTGAACCTATGGTATCCTTAAGATCCCCTCCAACCTTCTCCATTCTGTGACGCAGCTTGCTGTCCGGTCAGGCTGCACATCCCTGCTGCAAGGCTGCCAGCTGACAAGACATGGGGTGCTGTGCTTGGGTGCGTCAGAGGGTTGACACACTGCTGTCATGCAGCAGGGGCAGGCTGAAGAGCACCCAGCTCTTCTTGGAGAAAGCTGCATTGTGGCCTGTGGATACCAGAAGTCCACCTGTGTGCTGTTTGTGCTCATGGATGGGCTGGAGTGGAGGCTGCAGAGAGCTTTGTGGGGGTGAGGTGCTTCGAGTGCACCTGTGTGGAGCCCAGTAGTGGGAGTTACAGACCTCCAGAGGTCCCTTCCTGCCTAAATTCTCATAGCATTCTTCAGCCTAATGGGGTGGAAGACAGAGTATTGCAGATATCCCTGGATCGAGGGCTGAACCTTGCTAACTTGTTGGCTTGAGATCCATTGCTTACTCTGCTTCTCAGCTGACTGTGCGCTGTGTCTCTGCCTGCTCTCTGGCAGGCTCTGCAGTGGTTCCCCCTTCTGCCAACCTGCTGTTTCCAACAGCAGCAGGTGCTGCTGTGTGTCCAGAGCATATTGCTGTACATGCGTTTTCCCTGCCACAAGTGTATTGTAGCAGCAGATGAACACATGCTCTGTATCCTCAAAGCACACTTTCATTTGGCCCTGGGAGAGCTGGGTGCTCAGGCAGCCTTGCACCTCTGGTTGTTAATGCTCACAGTCTTGTCCCAGAGCCCAGCAGAGAGGAACAGTGAGATATACAGACTGAATTCAAAGTTGCAATCTGATCCGAAGCACATTCTAAGGCACATGAGGTGTGGACCAGGAGCTCTCTAGGTACTTCTTGCTATCAGAGCCGTGGTGTTAGGCACTGTACTTTGAGGAAAGATAGGAAAGAAGGTCTGTAAGAGAAAATAATCTTAAACGCTATTGAATTTAACAGAGAACTGCTGTTTGTCCCTGCTAAATGCCCAGCTCTGGGAGGCTCTGAAGGTGCAAGGAGGTGGTGTCCGCTTCCCTCTGGGTGCCAAGGCCCTGGCAGAAGTGCTCTCCCAAAGAGAGGGCTTGCCCTGCCTGCTGGGCACAGGGGTGGGAAAGGTTCTGATTCACTGAGCTGTCTGCACCCACTCACATCACTGCACCGCTGTTTGCTCATGAGGATGCTGTCAGGGGTCCATATTTACCACAATCTTGGGCCTTCCATGTGTGGGGGGATGTGATTTTTAAGAGTTTTATCTATTCAGACATGGCATTACATGGGGTTTCTAATTTAGCTGAGTGATTAAAGAATATCGCAAAACCAAAGCACATGTTGGTTGCTCTTGCTGAAATACAGTAGTCACAGAGGTCCCAAAATAAACACGGTGCACGCTGTCAGACTCTGTGCTTGTTGTTGGGGCTCGGCAACCCTGCACTGCTGTGGCTGGATGTGTTCTTGGCAGCACCGCTGCAGAAGCATTGGAATCACCAGCTGGGACATAGAGCTGCTGGAGCTCTGTCTAAACTAAGGCCAACTTCACACTGACTTCAATGTAAGTAGAAGTGGAGGTGGGTATGTGCCTATCCAAAACGGCTCTGATAGTTGTGTCCTGGAATCAAGACTGCAAAACAGGGCCACCGCCTCCCCACCAGCCCACTGCCCACATTCCTCAGGGCCACCTCCCCGCAGCTCTTGAACTCCTCCAGGGACGGTGACTCCCCTTGAAGCTGCACCACAAGGCAGAGCAGCCGTGCTTTGGCATCACAGAGCCTGGAGTCTGCCAGGCGTCCCCGGCGAGGGCCCACTGCCTCGACAAGGAGATCCAGAGAGCAGCAGTTCCCTCAGGAGAACTCCTCAGCGGGGGTGGCTCCAGTCTCTGTAAAACCCAAGCCATTTTTAGAGGCCGCCGATCGGTTTGTATAAGATCCGTTGGTCTTGCAGCTCGGAAGGCCAAGGGTATCCTGGGCTCCATCACAAGAGGGGTGGCCAGCAGGGACAGGGAGGTGGTTGCCCCTCTCTCCTCTGCCCTAGGCGGGCCCCATCTGGAGTTGTGCGTCCAGCTCTGCAGCCCCCAGTACGGGAAAGGTGTCGAGCTGTTGGGGAGGGTCCAGCGGAAGGCCACAAAGATGATCAGAGGGCTGCAGCACCTCCCTGCAAAGACAGGCTGAGGGAGCTGGGCTTGTTCAGCCCGGAGAAGAGGAGGCTGCGAGGAGACCTCATGGCAGCCTCCCAGTATTTAAAGGGAATATATAAACAGGAAGGGAATCCACTTTTCACTCGGCTAGGTAAATAGCGATAGGACGTGGGGGAATGGTTTTAAGCTCAAGGAGGGCAGGTGTAGCTTGGGTGTCAGGGGAAAGTTCTTTACTGAGAGAGCGGTGAGCTGCTGGAACAGGCTGCCCAGAAACGTGTTCGAGACCAGGCTGGATGAGGCCCTGGGCAACCTCCTTTAGTACCAGACCTGGAGGTTGGTGACCCTGCCTGCGGCAGGAGGGCTGGAAATCGATGATCCTTGCGGTCCCTTCCAACCCAAGCCATTCTACCATTCCGTGATCCTAATTTCCAATTGTCTGCTTTGACAGATGAGAGTGCCGATGCTACAGACATCAAAGGCTCGAGCTGCCTTTTGCTTTTGCAGAGGTGCAGATCAGGAATGTAATGTCACGGCAGAAACGGCTTCTTGGGTGCTAAGTGAGGACACAACTCGGCCTCCTGGTCTGTGTGAAGCACAAGGAGTACGTTACGGCTCCTGCGCCTCCCCTCTGTCAGCGCATCCCCTACAGCTGCCGATGGCGCACAGCCAGGCTCAGCCCGGGGACGCGGTGCCTCCTGTTTCCCGAGCTCCTGCCAGCAGCAGCCTGGTGGTGCTGGTGGTGCTCTGGGGCCTCCGAGCCCTGCGACTCCAGCTCCGAGACTCGAGCCCGCAGCGCGGGGGGGCCAAAAACCTCGCGTCGGCGTGCAGAGCCTCCTCGTGCGGCGCGAACTCGCGATTCGAAGACTCCCAGCGCCTTCCCGACGATCCAAGGCCTCCGAAGCTTCCCGTCCCGCTCTTCTCGGCCGCGACTGCAGGTCCCGGCGGCCTCCTCCCGGCGGCCCTGAGGCGCGGCGCGAGCTGGAGAGCGCGGGGCTCGGTGCGAGAATCCGCGGCCGCCGTGCCGGGCCCGAGCCGGCGCCGGGAAGCCCGCAGCCTCGTGGGAGATCGGCCGAGAGCCTCGGCGGGGGGCTCGCCGCCTCGTGCGTGCTGAGCGAGCCGTGCTTGTCGGCGCGGAGCGAGGCGGGGGGCCGGAGGCCGGGTGTGGGCGCTCTGGGCGGCGCCCGGCGCTCCTTCGCGCGCTCCGCTCCGCTCCGGCCGCCTCCCGTCCCGGCCTCCCGCGCGGCTGAACGCGCCGAGGGAGAGCGCTTGGAGACGCTTTCTGCTTCCAGGCGGCTCGCTGTGGGCAGCGCTTCTTCGGCAGCACGCGTGTGCAATAACGCGTCCCAGAGCAGGTGGCAAACCCGCTGCCGGCGCGCTGCTTTCCGGCGGAGCGCCGCCCGTAGGCGCTGCGTGGCAGCGTGCCGCGGGGCCCGGAGGATCCCGGCGCGGAACAGAACGCCCTTGTCTTGGAACTCAGCTGATAGCGGGCCTGACGTGTGGCCCTGCTCCAGGAGGGCTGCCCGGTCTTGGAACGACTTTTGAAAGGCATGACAGAAGGCACATTGCACTGGGAGTGTTAGCGGAACACACCGGGTGCAGGAAGAGAGCGGCGGGCTGCTTCTCTGGGCAGTTGGACCGACTAAGTAAAGGGTGGCCATCCCGCTTAGGAGCAGCGGCAGCACTGGTATTGCTCGCACAGGAGGCGTGACGCCGGACTTTGCGACAGAGAAGAGTGGCTCACGCGCTCGATGGGCTGCGTCACCCCAAGCCTGGCAGCATCCCCAGAGCAGCAGCAGCCCTCAGACCTGGGGCACTGCTGGAATGCAGGAGGAAAGCCTGGGTCCCAGCCCACCCACAGCCGGCAGCAGCCGCGGGTCTGCCCGCATTTACCAAATGCAGCAGCATCCCCAAGATGGCAGAAAGACCCCCAGAATGGGCTGCAGCTGCCAGCCTGGCCTCCGCCACGTTGTGCGTTGGAAACGTTGCGCCTGCTGGAGTCGGGGCCAGAACCCAGCTCAGCCTGAACCGGGCTGGGGGCAGGAAGGAGTGGGTTGGGTGCTGGGGAGAAGAGATGCCCGTGGCCGCAGCCCCTAAAGCTGCCCACCTCGGGAAAGGCGGAGAAGAACCAAACTGACAGTGGCATGATGGAACTGTCACTTTTATTGATGGATTGTGGTGACTTTACACAGCAATTGGAGCTGGCACACGGCTGCTTCTGCAGCATCAGTGGGGCCGGCGGTTGATGTTCTGGGCCCGACGTGGAACCCAGGAGCGGCTTCGTCCCCGGGCTGGCCTTCACCACCTGGACCGGCTCCTGTGGCGTCTTTGGGGCTGGCTGTTGGTCTCTGCAGCCCGATGTTTGAGAGGGGAGCGGCTCCGAGTCCTGGCCCGCCGTGTCTGCCTGGGCTGCCTTCTCTCAGCCGCCGTGGAAACCCTCGAGGACCACGGTGCTCCCCATCTTGTGTATCTGTGGGTGCAGCTCTCAGCACTTGGGACTGGATCCTGCCTGCTCCCACAGTGTCTTTGGGACTGGCTCGGGGAACCTGTGGCCCCGCGCTGCAATGGAGGGCGGCTTCTTGTCCACGCCCGCGGTCCCTGTCTGCGCCAGCGACTGCAGCCGACTGCTCGGGAGTGCGTCGAGGACCAAGATGTCCCTTGGCTGGCAGAGGTCGGGATGCTGCTCTCGCTACTTGGGGCTGCAGCACGGCTGCTCCCATAGCATCCTTGGAGCTCGTTGCATGCATCGTCAGCGCGATGTAAACGTGAGCACATTCTCTTCCATTTTATCCTGCGCTGGCTGGACAGGCCTCTGCTCTCAGGCACCTTGTTACTGTGAGCCGACCCCGATGGTGCCTGGCTGGTGATGCTGGAGCTGCTGCTCGTCTGCGATGTCACAGGGCCTTGGAGAGGCCCGTGTCCCTGTTGGGTGGCAGTGCTGGGGCCAGCGCTGTCCGCATTGCTGCTGGAGGCTGTAAGGGAAGGCAGGAAGATGAGTGGGATGGAACTGCAGCCCTGGGGAGGGACAGACTCCCATCGCTCCTGGGCCAAAGGGACTGGAGCAAGATCTCGCCTTGCCCCAGCCCAGCAGCACGTGGCTGTTTGTCTCTTACAGGTGCCCTCTCCAGCACAGGCGTTGCACTCCCAGGCCTTTGTGCTCAGGCTCAAGTAGGAACAGCGCCGATGGGTGCCTCGCGCAGCACAGGAGCTGCAGAGGAGCAGCTGCCAGGGCCTGGGGAAAACAAGAGGATGTGGCCGTGAGGACAAAGTGAGCTGAGCCAGGGAGCGCCCGGCACGGCTCTGGTGCTCAGTTTGTGCTCTCCCAGCCTGTGGTGAGGCTGCGATCCCACGCGGAGCCCCAGAGGGCTGCTGAGGGAACTCACCCCTCTCCTGCTCGGTCCCTGCCGTGGGGGTAACGGCACTCCCTGGCATCGCAGCGCTTGTGCTTGTCTCCCTCTTGTACGTATGAATTGTTGTCCCATATTGGTCCTCTGCCAGAGAAAGGAAGAAATCTGATGAGCAACCAGTGCCTCTGTAGTAAGACGGACCCAGGCCGTTCCTGCTCTTCCAGCCCAACACCGTTTCCAGCTTCTCCATGAAGCTGAGGCCAACGCTGTTGGCGGCAAAGATCCAGGCCTGCTTGGGCCATCCCTGGGCAGGCACAGCGCTTGTGCACTCAGGCCTGGAGAACCAGGAATGGGGTACCAACCTGGATGGGATACGGATCCCCATGGCGTTCATATAATCAAAAAATTCCTCCTCGTCTTTGCAGTGCGGACAATGCAAAGTAATGCCCGCACACAGGGCCCGTCTCTGCAGCAGAAACAGAACAGGGTGAGTGTGAGCCAGGCCTGGTGCTGCTGAGCACCTGCCGTGCCCATGGGGTGAGGAGAGGGCTCCCACCTGGATGCAAGCCCGGTGGAACCAGGCGTGTTGGCAGGCTGGGCACACCATGGTGCTGTAGGACACGCTGTCCCCCACGGGGTCCATGCAGATGGTGCAGGTCGTGTCCTGCGCCGGCGCTGCCTCCACTGCCTGATGTGGACGATGCACCCAGCAGAAGGACCTGGAGGAAGATGGCAGGGACGGGCAAGGTGAGAAGTGCTGCGAGGAGGGCAGAGGAACAGGAAGGAGCCCCAGGCCTTGGCTCTGGCTCTGCCAGGCTGCTGGGAGGCGTCACGGCGCGCTCCTCGCTTCTTTGGCTGGTGCTGAAGCAGGGCTTGGAGGCCCGCAGGCGATGCCTGGCAGCCCTTACCTGTACTCTCCAAAGTACTGGGTGACGCATTCACCCTTGGAAGCGCAGGAGAGATGGAAGCTGCGGTCGCAGCCCGGCTCTGCGCAGGTGATGAAGGCCCCCAGATTGCCACAAACGAAGCAGAGCTGTAAAGAGCAGAGCATTTCCCATCAGCTGCAGGCTCAGGGCCTACGCAGCGGGCCCCGCACCTCTGTGCAGGGCACGGGATGGGGGCAGGGCTGGCTGGCACTCTGCAGAGCTGCCTGCTGAACAGGGCTGGTCTGCAAGAGCAGGGATTTCTCTTGGGGCTGGCTGGAAGGGCCGGGATTGTGTTCTTGAGACCAGGCAAAGCTCAGCCGTGCCTCCGCTGGCACCAAGCTCCCTGTTCCGGTCTGGTGCTCACCGTCTGCTCTGCCTGCACGATTGTGCGTATAATCTCAATCCTGCTTAAGTCATCATTTCTCTTCTGTCTCGCTGCTCCTTGAAGAAGGCCACCCACAAACAGCTGTATGGGAAAAGAGCATGATCTTGTTATGGCAGAAAGGAGGGAACCATTGTTTGGAGGATGGTGGAAGGAGCCGTGAAGGAACTCACTGCACAAAACTGATGGAAATAGATCCCACTGATGATCAGTTTGCGCCCATAGATGTCTTTGTCAGCATCTCCCTGACCACAGAGCACGCAAGCTGGAGAGGAGAGAGGAACAGCAGTGAGCGCCTTGCGGGGCCAGGTGCCCTGGGGGCTGTCCCAGGGGCTGCTGTGTGCCAGCTGTGCCAGCTGAGGGGCTGGCCAGAGGCCATGGAGGGGAAGGGACACTGCAGGCCCAGCAGTGCCAGCAGGCGGCCACAGCCCAACCACGGCATCCCTCTGCCCAGTGGTGGGGAGCTGTGCGCAGCGATACGTACTTTCACCCATCTGCCATGAGCTGGCAGGCTTCTTTGTCCCCTTGACGTGGAACCCGGGAGCAGCGTCCCCCCTGGGCTGGCCTTCACCGCCTGGACCGGCTCCTGCGGCGTCTTTGGGGCTGGCTGTTGGTCTCTGCAGCCATTTTCTCAGGCTGCCCCTCCGCTGCCATCTCTTGTATGACAACAGAATGTCAGAGAACATAGGCGGGAAGGTTCCACCTCTACTGCCGTCCCCCCAACATCCGCCTCCAATGTCGTGCGCTGACATCGTACAACAGGAGGCCTTACTTTGAGAGCAGCCGCTGTACCGCCGGTCACGGAGGTACAGATCTGCTTCCATCGCCGCAGCAGCCAAGAATTGCAGCCATCAGTTGCAGCAGCACGTATGTGCCTTCAGTACCTATTGCCGCAAACACGGCCAGCGAGGCGGCACAGGCACGTACCGTGAATAGTCAGGCGCTTGCCCGTGTGTGCATCTCATGGAGAACGGCACCAAACTGCTCCCGGCAGAGGGGCCCTGAAGTGGACGATGGACAAAGCCGCGCTTTGGCATCACAGAGCCTGGAGTCTGCCAGGCGTCCCCGGCGAGGGCCCACTGCCTCGACAAGGAGATCCAGAGAGCAGCAGTTCCCTCAGGAGAACTCCTCAGCGGGGGTGGCTCCAGTCTCTGTAAAACCCAAGCCATTTTTAGAGGCCGCCGATCGGTTTGTATAAGATCCGTTGGTCTTGCAGCTCGGAAGGCCAAGGGTATCCTGGGCTCCATCACAAGAGGGGTGGCCAGCAGGGACAGGGAGGTGGTTGCCCCTCTCTCCTCTGCCCTAGGCGGGCCCCATCTGGAGTTGTGCGTCCAGCTCTGCAGCCCCCAGTACGGGAAAGGTGTCGAGCTGTTGGGGAGGGTCCAGCGGAAGGCCACAAAGATGATCAGAGGGCTGCAGCACCTCCCTGCAAAGACAGGCTGAGGGAGCTGGGCTTGTTCAGCCCGGAGAAGAGGAGGCTGCGAGGAGACCTCATGGCAGCCTCCCAGTATTTAAAGGGAATATATAAACAGGAAGGGAATCCACTTTTCACTCGGCTAGGTAAATAGCGATAGGACGTGGGGGAATGGTTTTAAGCTCAAGGAGGGCAGGTGTAGCTTGGGTGTCAGGGGAAAGTTCTTTACTGAGAGAGCGGTGAGCTGCTGGAACAGGCTGCCCAGAAACGTGTTCGAGACCAGGCTGGATGAGGCCCTGGGCAACCTCCTTTAGTACCAGACCTGGAGGTTGGTGACCCTGCCTGCGGCAGGAGGGCTGGAAATCGATGATCCTTGCGGTCCCTTCCAACCCAAGCCATTCTACCATTCCGTGATCCTAATTTCCAATTGTCTGCTTTGACAGATGAGAGTGCCGATGCTACAGACATCAAAGGCTCGAGCTGCCTTTTGCTTTTGCAGAGGTGCAGATCAGGAATGTAATGTCACGGCAGAAACGGCTTCTTGGGTGCTAAGTGAGGACACAACTCGGCCTCCTGGTCTGTGTGAAGCACAAGGAGTACGTTACGGCTCCTGCGCCTCCCCTCTGTCAGCGCATCCCCTACAGCTGCCGATGGCGCACAGCCAGGCTCAGCCCGGGGACGCGGTGCCTCCTGTTTCCCGAGCTCCTGCCAGCAGCAGCCTGGTGGTGCTGGTGGTGCTCTGGGGCCTCCGAGCCCTGCGACTCCAGCTCCGAGACTCGAGCCCGCAGCGCGGGGGGGCCAAAAACCTCGCGTCGGCGTGCAGAGCCTCCTCGTGCGGCGCGAACTCGCGATTCGAAGACTCCCAGCGCCTTCCCGACGATCCAAGGCCTCCGAAGCTTCCCGTCCCGCTCTTCTCGGCCGCGACTGCAGGTCCCGGCGGCCTCCTCCCGGCGGCCCTGAGGCGCGGCGCGAGCTGGAGAGCGCGGGGCTCGGTGCGAGAATCCGCGGCCGCCGTGCCGGGCCCGAGCCGGCGCCGGGAAGCCCGCAGCCTCGTGGGAGATCGGCCGAGAGCCTCGGCGGGGGGCTCGCCGCCTCGTGCGTGCTGAGCGAGCCGTGCTTGTCGGCGCGGAGCGAGGCGGGGGGCCGGAGGCCGGGTGTGGGCGCTCTGGGCGGCGCCCGGCGCTCCTTCGCGCGCTCCGCTCCGCTCCGGCCGCCTCCCGTCCCGGCCTCCCGCGCGGCTGAACGCGCCGAGGGAGAGCGCTTGGAGACGCTTTCTGCTTCCAGGCGGCTCGCTGTGGGCAGCGCTTCTTCGGCAGCACGCGTGTGCAATAACGCGTCCCAGAGCAGGTGGCAAACCCGCTGCCGGCGCGCTGCTTTCCGGCGGAGCGCCGCCCGTAGGCGCTGCGTGGCAGCGTGCCGCGGGGCCCGGAGGATCCCGGCGCGGAACAGAACGCCCTTGTCTTGGAACTCAGCTGATAGCGGGCCTGACGTGTGGCCCTGCTCCAGGAGGGCTGCCCGGTCTTGGAACGACTTTTGAAAGGCATGACAGAAGGCACATTGCACTGGGAGTGTTAGCGGAACACACCGGGTGCAGGAAGAGAGCGGCGGGCTGCTTCTCTGGGCAGTTGGACCGACTAAGTAAAGGGTGGCCATCCCGCTTAGCAGCAGCGGCAGCACTGGTATTGCTCGCACAGGAGGCGTGACGCCGGACTTTGCGACAGAGAAGAGTGGCTCACGCGCTCGATGGGCTGCGTCACCCCAAGCCTGGCAGCATCCCCAGAGCAGCAGCAGCCCTCAGACCTGGGGCACTGCTGGAATGCAGGAGGAAAGCCCGGGTCCCGGCCCACCCACAGCCGGCAGCAGCCGCGGGTCTGCCCGCATTTACCAAATGCAGCAACATCCCCAAGATGGCAGAAAGACCCCCAGAATGGGCTGCAGCTGCCAGCCTGGCCTCCGCCACGTTGTGCGTTGGAAACATTGCGCCTGCTGGAGTCGGGGCCAGAACCCAGCTCAGCCTGAACCGGGCTGGGGGGAGGAAGGAGTGGGTTGGGTGCTGGGGAGAAGAGATGCCCGTGGCCGCAGCCCCTAAAGCTGCCCACCTCGGGAAAGGCGGAGAAGAACCAAACTGACAGTGGCATGATGGAACTGTCACTTTTATTGATGGATTGTGGTGACTTTACACAGCAATTGGAGCTGGCACACGGCTGCTTCTGCAGCATCAGTGGGGCCGGCGGTTGATGTTCTGGGCCCGACGTGGAACCCAGGAGCGGCTTCGTCCCCGGGCTGGCCTTCACCACCTGGACCGGCTCCTGCGGCGTCTTTGGGGCTGGCTGTTGGTCTCTGCAGCCTGATGTTTGAGAGGGGAGCGGCTCCGAGTCCTGGCCCGCCGTGTCTGCCTGGGCTGCCTTCTCTCAGCCGCCGTGGAAACCCTCGAGGACCACGGTGCTCCCCATCTTGTGTATCTGTGGGTGCAGCTCTCAGCACTTGGGACTGGATCCTGCCTGCTCCCACAGTGTCTTTGGGACTGGCTCGGGGAACCTGTGGCCCCGCGCTGCAATGGAGGGCGGCTTCTTGTCCACGCCCGCGGTCCCTGTCTGCGCCAGCGACTGCAGCCGACTGCTCGGGAGTGCGTCGAGGACCAAGATGTCCCTTGGCTGGCAGAGGTCGGGGTGCTGCTCTCGCTACTTGGGGCTGCAGCACGGCTGCTCCCATAGCATCCTTGGAGCTCGTTGCATGCATCGTCAACGCGATGTAAACGTGAGCACATTCTCTTCCATTTTATCCTGCGCTGGCTGGACAGGCCTCTGCTCTCAGGCACCTTGTTACTGTGAGCCGACCCCGATGGTGCCTGGCTGGTGATGCTGGAGCTGCTGCTCGTCTGCGATGTCACAGGGCCTTGGAGAGGCCCGTGTCCCTGTTGGGTGGCAGTGCTGGGGCCAGCGCTGTCCGCATTGCTGCTGGAGGCTGTAAGGGAAGGCAGGAAGATGAGTGGGATGGAACTGCAGCCCTGGGGAGGGACAGACTCCCATCGCTCCTGGGCCAAAGGGACTGGAGCAAGATCTCGCCTTGCCCCAGCCCAGCAGCACGTGGCTGTTTGTCTCTTACAGGTGCCCTCTCCAGCACAGGCGTTGCACTCCCAGGCCTTTGTGCTCAGGCTCAAGTAGGAACAGCGCCGATGGGTGCCTCGCGCAGCACAGGAGCTGCAGAGGAGCAGCTGCCAGGGCCTGGGGAAAACAAGAGGATGTGGCCGTGAGGACAAAGTGAGCTGAGCCAGGGAGCGCCCGGCACGGCTCTGGTGCTCAGTTTGTGCTCTCCCAGCCTGTGGTGAGGCTGCGATCCCACGCGGAGCCCCAGAGGGCTGCTGAGGGAACTCACCCCTCTCCTGCTCGGTCCCTGCCGTGGGGGTAACGGCACTCCCTGGCATCGCAGCGCTTGTGCTTGTCTCCCTCTTGTACGTATGAATTGTTGTCCCATATTGGTCCTCTGCCAGAGAAAGGAAGAAATCTGATGAGCAACCAGTGCCTCTGTAGTAAGACGGACCCAGGCCGTTCCTGCTCTTCCAGCCCAACACCGTTTCCAGCTTCTCCATGAAGCTGAGGCCAACGCTGTTGGCGGCAAAGATCCAGGCCTGCTTGGGCCATCCCTGGGCAGGCACAGCTCTTGTGCACTCAGGCCTGGAGAACCAGGAATGGGGTACCAACCTGGATGGGATACGGATCCCCATGGCGTTCATATAATCAAAAAATTCCTCCTCGTCTTTGCAGTGCGGACAATGCAAAGTAATGCCCGCACACAGGGCCCGTCTCTGCAGCAGAAACAGAACAGGGTGAGTGTGAGCCAGGCCTGGTGCTGCTGAGCACCTGCCGTGCTCATGGGGTGAGGAGAGGGCTCCTACCTGGATGCAAGCCCGGTGGAACCAGGCGTGTTGGCAGGCTGGGCACACCATGGTGCTGTAGGACACGCTGTCCCCCACGGGGTCCATGCAGATGATGCAGGTCGTGTCCTGCACCGGCGCTGCCTCCACTGCCTGATGTGGACGATGCACCCAGCAGAAGGACCTGGAGGAAGATGGGAGGGATGGGCAAGGTGAGAAGTGCTGCGAGGAGGGCAGAGGAACGGGAAGGAGCCCCAGGCCTTGGCTCTGGCTCTGCCAGGCTGCTGGGAGGCGTCACGGCGCGCTCCTCGCTTCTTTGGCTGGTGCTGAAGCAGGGCTTGGAGGCCCGCAGGCGATGCCTGGCAGCCCTTACCTGTACTCTCCAAAGTACTGGGTGACGCATTCACCCTTGGAAGCGCAGGGGAGATGGAAGCTGCGGTCGCAGCCCGGCTCTGCGCAGGTGATGAAGGCCCCCAGATTGCCACAAACGAAGCAGAGCTGTAAAGAGCAGAGCATTTCCCATCAGCTGCAGGCTCAGGGCCTACGCAGCGGGCCCCGCAGCTCTGTGCAGGGCACGGGATGGGGGCAGGGCTGGCTGGCACTCTGCAGAGCTGCCTGCTGAACAGGGCTGGTCTGCAAGAGCAGGGATTTCTCTTGGGGTTGGCTGGAAGGGCAGGGATTGTGTTCTTGAGACCAGGCAAAGCTCAGCCGTGCCTCCGCTGGCACCAAGCTCCCTGTTCCGGTCCGGTGCTCACCGTCTGCTCTGCCTGCACGATTGTGCGTATAATCTCAATCCTGCTTAAGTCATCATTTCTCTTCTGTCTCGCTGCTCCTTGAAGAAGGCCACCCACAAACAGCTGTATGGGAAGAGCATGATCTTGTTATGGCAGAAAGGAGGGAACCATTGTTTGGAGGATGGTGGAAGGAGCCGTGAAGGAACTCACTGCACAAAACTGGTGGAAATAGATCCCACTGATGATCAGTTTGCGCCCATAGATGTCTTTGTCAGCATCTCCCTGACCACAGAGCACGCAAGCTGGAGAGGAGAGAGGAACAGCAGTGAGCGCCTTGCGGGGCCAGGTGCCCTGGGGGCTGTCCCAGGGGCTGCTGTGTGCCAGCTGTGCCAGCTGAGGGGCTGGCCAGAGGCCATGGAGGGGCCCAGCAGTGCCAGCAGGCGGCCACAGCCCAACCACGGCATCCCTCTGCCCAGTGGTGGGGAGCTGTGCGCAGCGATACGTACTTTCACCCATCTGCCATGAGCTGGCAGGCTTCTTTGTCCCCTTGACGTGGAACCCGGGAGCAGCGTCGCCCCTGGGCTGGCCTTCACCGCCTGGACCGGCTCCTGCGGCGTCTTTGGGGCTGGCTGTTGGTCTCTGCAGCCATTTTCTCAGGCTGCCCCTCCGCTGCCATCTCTTGTATGACAACAGAATGTCAGAGAACATAGGCGGGAAGGTTCCACCTCTACTGCCGTTCCCCCAACATCCGCCTCCAATGTCGTGCGCTGACATCGTACAACAGGAGGCCTTACTTTGAGAGCAGCCGCTGTACCGCCGGTCACGGAGGTACAGATCTGCTTCCATCGCCGCAGCAGCCAAGAATTGCAGCCATCAGTTGCAGCAGCACGTATGTGCCTTCAGTACCTATTGCCGCAAACACGGCCAGCGAGGCGGCACAGGCACGTACCGTGAATAGTCAGGCGCTTGCCCGTGTGTGCATCTCATGGAGAACGGCACCAAACTGCTCCCGGCAGAGGGGCCCTGAAGTGGACGATGGACAAAGCCGCGCTTTGGCATCACAGAGCCTGGAGTCTGCCAGGCGTCCCCGGCGAGGGCCCACTGCCTCGACAAGGAGATCCAGAGAGCAGCAGTTCCCTCAGGAGAACTCCTCAGCGGGGGTGGCTCCAGTCTCTGTAAAACCCAAGCCATTTTTAGAGGCCGCCGATCGGTTTGTATAAGATCCGTTGGTCTTGCAGCTCGGAAGGCCAAGGGTATCCTGGGCTCCATCACAAGAGGGGTGGCCAGCAGGGACAGGGAGGTGGTTGCCCCTCTCTCCTCTGCCCTAGGCGGGCCCCATCTGGAGTTGTGCGTCCAGCTCTGCAGCCCCCAGTACGGGAAAGGTGTCGAGCTGTTGGGGAGGGTCCAGCGGAAGGCCACAAAGATGATCAGAGGGCTGCAGCACCTCCCTGCAAAGACAGGCTGAGGGAGCTGGGCTTGTTCAGCCCGGAGAAGAGGAGGCTGCGAGGAGACCTCATGGCAGCCTCCCAGTATTTAAAGGGAATATATAAACAGGAAGGGAATCCACTTTTCACTCGGCTAGGTAAATAGCGATAGGACGTGGGGGAATGGTTTTAAGCTCAAGGAGGGCAGGTGTAGCTTGGGTGTCAGGGGAAAGTTCTTTACTGAGAGAGCGGTGAGCTGCTGGAACAGGCTGCCCAGAAACGTGTTCGAGACCAGGCTGGATGAGGCCCTGGGCAACCTCCTTTAGTACCAGACCTGGAGGTTGGTGACCCTGCCTGCGGCAGGAGGGCTGGAAATCGATGATCCTTGCGGTCCCTTCCAACCCAAGCCATTCTACCATTCCGTGATCCTAATTTCCAATTGTCTGCTTTGACAGATGAGAGTGCCGATGCTACAGACATCAAAGGCTCGAGCTGCCTTTTGCTTTTGCAGAGGTGCAGATCAGGAATGTAATGTCACGGCAGAAACGGCTTCTTGGGTGCTAAGTGAGGACACAACTCGGCCTCCTGGTCTGTGTGAAGCACAAGGAGTACGTTACGGCTCCTGCGCCTCCCCTCTGTCAGCGCATCCCCTACAGCTGCCGATGGCGCACAGCCAGGCTCAGCCCGGGGACGCGGTGCCTCCTGTTTCCCGAGCTCCTGCCAGCAGCAGCCTGGTGGTGCTGGTGGTGCTCTGGGGCCTCCGAGCCCTGCGACTCCAGCTCCGAGACTCGAGCCCGCAGCGCGGGGGGGCCAAAAACCTCGCGTCGGCGTGCAGAGCCTCCTCGTGCGGCGCGAACTCGCGATTCGAAGACTCCCAGCGCCTTCCCGACGATCCAAGGCCTCCGAAGCTTCCCGTCCCGCTCTTCTCGGCCGCGACTGCAGGTCCCGGCGGCCTCCTCCCGGCGGCCCTGAGGCGCGGCGCGAGCTGGAGAGCGCGGGGCTCGGTGCGAGAATCCGCGGCCGCCGTGCCGGGCCCGAGCCGGCGCCGGGAAGCCCGCAGCCTCGTGGGAGATCGGCCGAGAGCCTCGGCGGGGGGCTCGCCGCCTCGTGCGTGCTGAGCGAGCCGTGCTTGTCGGCGCGGAGCGAGGCGGGGGGCCGGAGGCCGGGTGTGGGCGCTCTGGGCGGCGCCCGGCGCTCCTTCGCGCGCTCCGCTCCGGCTGCCTCCCGTCCCGGCCTCCCGCGCGGCTGAACGCGCCGAGGGAGAGCGCTTGGAGACGCTTTCTGCTTCCAGGCGGCTCGCTGTGGGCAGCGCTTCTTCGGCAGCACGCGTGTGCAATAACGCGTCCCAGAGCAGGTGGCAAACCCGCTGCCGGCGCGCTGCTTTCCGGCGGAGCGCCGCCCGTAGGCGCTGCGTGGCAGCGTGCCGCGGGGCCCGGAGGATCCCGGCGCGGAACAGAACGCCCTTGTCTTGGAACTCAGCTGATAGCGGGCCTGACGTGTGGCCCTGCTCCAGGAGGGCTGCCCGGTCTTGGAACGACTTTTGAAAGGCATGACAGAAGGCACATTGCACTGGGAGTGTTAGCGGAACACACCGGGTGCAGGAAGAGAGCGGCGGGCTGCTTCTCTGGGCAGTTGGACCGACTAAGTAAAGGGTGGCCATCCCGCTTAGGAGCAGCGGCAGCACTGGTATTGCTCGCACAGGAGGCGTGACGCCGGACTTTGCGACAGAGAAGAGTGGCTCACGCGCTCGATGGGCTGCGTCACCCCAAGCCTGGCAGCATCCCCAGAGCAGCAGCAGCCCTCAGACCTGAGGCACTGCCCGAATGCAGGAGGAAAGCCCGGGTCCCGGCCCACCCACAGCCGGCAGCAGCCGCGGGTCTGCCCGCATTTACCAAATGCAGCAGCATCCCCAAGATGGCAGAAACACCCCCAGAATGGGCTGCAGCTGCCAGCCTGGCCTCCGCCACGTTGTGCGTTGGAAACGTTGCGCCTGCTGGAGTCGGGGCCAGAACCCAGCTCAGCCTGAACCGGGCTGGGGGGAGGAAGGAGTGGGTTGGGTGCTGGGGAGAAGAGATGCCCGTGGCCGCAGCCCCTAAAGCTGCCCACCTCGGGAAAGGCAGAGAAGAACCAAACTGACAGTGGCATGATGGAACTGTCACTTGTATTGATGGATTGTGGTGACTTTACACAGCAATTGGAGCTGGCACACGGCTGCTTCTGCAGCATCAGTGGGGCCGGCGGTTGATGTTCTGGGCCCGACGTGGAACCCAGGAGCGGCTTCGTCCCCGGGCTGGCCTTCACCGCCTGGACCGGCTCCTGCGGCGTCTTTGGGGCTGGCTGTTGGTCTCTGCAGCCCGATGTTTGAGAGGGGAGCGGCTCCGAGTCCTGGCCCGCCGTGTCTGCCTGGGCTGCCTTCTCTCAGCCGCCATGGAAACCCTCGAGGACCACGGTGCTCCCCATCTTGTGTATCTGTGGGTGCAGCTCTCAGCACTTGGGACTGGATCCTGCCTGCTCCCACAGTGTCTTTGGGACTGGCTCGGGGAACCTGTGGCCCCGCGCTGCAATGGAGGGCGGCTTCTTGTCCACGCCCGCTGTCCCTGTCTGCGCCAGCGACTGCAGCCGACTGCTCGGGAGTGCGTCGAGGACCAAGATGTCCCTTGGCTGGCAGAGGTCGGGGTGCTGCTCTCGCTACTTGGGGCTGCAGCACGGCTGCTCCCATAGCATCCTTGGAGCTCGTTGCATGCATCGTCAGCGCGATGTAAACGTGAGCACATTCTCTTCCATTTTATCCTGCGCTGGCTGGACAGGCCTCTGCTCTCAGGCACCTTGTTACTGTGAGCCGACCCCGATGGTGCCTGGCTGGTGATGCTGGAGCTGCTGCTCGTCTGCGATGTCACAGGGCCTTGGAGAGGCCCGTGTCCCTGTTGGGTGGCAGTGCTGGGGCCAGCGCTGTCCGCATTGCTGCTGGAGGCTGTAAGGGAAGGCAGGAAGATGAGTGGGATGGAACTGCAGCCCTGGGGAGGGACAGACTCCCATCGCTCCTGGGCCAAAGGGACTGGAGCAAGATCTCGCCTTGCCCCAGCCCAGCAGCACGTGGCTGTTTGTCTCTTACAGGTGCCCTCTCCAGCACAGGCGTTGCACTCCCAGGCCTTTGTGCTCAGGCTCAAGTAGGAACAGCGCCGATGGGTGCCTCGCGCAGCACAGGAGCTGCAGAGGAGCAGCTGCCAGGGCCTGGGGAAAACAACAGGATGTGGCCGTGAGGACAAAGTGAGCTGAGCCAGGCAGCGCCCGGCACGGCTCTGGTGCTCAGTTTGTGCTCTCCCAGCCCGTGGTGAGGCTGCGATCCCACGCGGAGCCCCAGAGGGCTGCTGAGGGAACTCACCCCTCTCCTGCTCGGTCCCTGCCGTGGGGGTAACGGCACTCCCTGGCATCGCAGCGCTTGTGCTTGTCTCCCTCTTGTACATATGAATTGTTGTCCGATATTGGTCCTCTGCCAGAGAAAGGAAGAAATCTGATGAGCAACCAGTGCCTCTGTAGTAAGACGGACCCAGGCCGTTCCTGCTCTTCCAGCCCAACACCGTTTCCAGCTTCTCCATGAAGCTGAGGCCAACGCTGTTGGCGGCAAAGATCCAGGCCTGCTTGGGCCATCCCTGGGCAGGCACAGCTCTTGTGCACTCAGGCCTGGAGAACCAGGAATGGGGTACCAACCTGGATGGGATACGGATCCCCATGGCGTTCATATAATCAAAAAATTCCTCCTCGTCTTTGCAGTGCGGACAATGCAAAGTAATGCCCGCACACAGGGCCCGTCTCTGCAGCAGAAACAGAACAGGGTGAGTGTGAGCCAGGCCTGGTGCTGCTGAGCACCTGCCGTGCTCATGGGGTGAGGAGAGGGCTCCTACCTGGATGCAAGCCCGGTGGAACCAGGCGTGTTGGCAGGCTGGGCACACCATGGTGCTGTAGGACACGCTGTCCCCCATGGGGTCCATGCAGATGATGCAGGTCGTGTCCTGCACCGGCGCTGCCTCCACTGCCTGATGTGGACGATGCACCCAGCAGAAGGACCTGGAGGAAGATGGCAGGGACGGGCAAGGTGAGAAGTGCTGCGAGGAGGGCAGAGGAACGGGAAGGAGCCCCAGGCCTTGGCTCTGGCTCTGCCAGGCTGCTGGGAGGCGTCACGGCGCGCTCCTCGCTTCTTTGGCTGGTGCTGAAGCAGGGCTTGGAGGCCCGCAGGCGATGCCTGGCAGCCCTTACCTGTACTCTCCAAAGTACTGGGTGACGTATTCACCCTTGGAAGCGCAGGGGAGATGGAAGCTGCGGTCGCAGCCCGGCTCTGTGCAGGTGATGAAGGCCCCCAGATTGCCACAAACGAAGCAGAGCTGTAAAGAGCAGAGCATTTCCCATCAGCTGCAGGCTCAGGGCCTACGCAGCGGGCCCCGCAGCTCTGTGCAGGGCACGGGATGGGGGCAGGGCTGGCTGGCACTCTGCAGAGCTGCCTGCTGAACAGGGCTGGTCTGCAAGAGCAGGGATTTCTCTTGGGGCTGGCTGGAAGGGCCGGGATTGTGTTCTTGAGACCAGGCAAAGCTCAGCCGTGCCTCCGCTGGCACCAAGCTCCCTGTTCCAGTCGGGTGCTCACCGTCTGCTCTGCCTGCACAATTGTGCGTATAATCTCAATCCTGCTTAAGTCATCATTTCTCTTCTGTCTCGCTGCTCCTTGAAGAAGACCACCCACAAACAGCTGTATGGGAAAAGAGCATGATCTTGTTATGGCAGAAAGGAGGGAACCATTGTTTGGAGGATGGTGGAAGGAGCCGTGAAGGAACTCACTGCACAAAACTGGTGGAAATAGATCCCACTGATGATCAGTTTGCGCCCATAGATGTCTTTGTCAGCATCTCCCTGACCACAGAGCACGCAAGCTGGAGAGGAGAGAGGAACAGCAGTGAGCGCCTTGCGGGGCCAGGTGCCCTGGGGGCTGTCCCAGGGGCTGCTGTGTGCCAGCTGTGCCAGCTGAGGGGCTGGCCAGAGGCCATGGAGGGGCCCAGCAGTGCCAGCAGGCGGCCACAGCCCAACCACGGCATCCCTCTGCCCAGTGGTGGGGAGCTGTGCGCAGCGATACGTACTTTCACCCATCTGCCATGAGCTGGCAGGCTTCTTTGTCCCCTTGACGTGGAACCCGGGAGCAGCGTCGCCCCTGGGCTGGCCTTCACCGCCTGGACCGGCTCCTGCGGCGTCTTTGGGGCTGGCTGTTGGTCTCTGCAGCCATTTTCTCAGGCTGCCCCTCCGCTGCCATCTCTTGTATGACAACAGAATGTCAGAGAACATAGGCGGGAAGGTTCCACCTCTACTGCCGTTCCCCCAACATCCGCCTCCAATGTCGTGCGCTGACATCGTACAACAGGAGGCCTTACTTTGAGAGCAGCCGCTGTACCGCCGGTCACGGAGGTACAGATCTGCTTCCATCGCCGCAGCAGCCAAGAATTGCAGCCATCAGTTGCAGCAGCACGTATGTGCCTTCAGTACCTATTGCCGCAAACACGGCCAGCGAGGCGGCACAGGCACGTACCGTGAATAGTCAGGCGCTTGCCCGTGTGTGCATCTCATGGAGAACGGCACCAAACTGCTCCCGGCAGAGGGGCCCTGAAGTGGACGATGGACAAAGCCGCGCTTTGGCATCACAGAGCCTGGAGTCTGCCAGGCGTCCCCGGCGAGGGCCCACTGCCTCGACAAGGAGATCCAGAGAGCAGCAGTTCCCTCAGGAGAACTCCTCAGCGGGGGTGGCTCCAGTCTCTGTAAAACCCAAGCCATTTTTAGAGGCCGCCGATCGGTTTGTATAAGATCCGTTGGTCTTGCAGCTCGGAAGGCCAAGGGTATCCTGGGCTCCATCACAAGAGGGGTGGCCAGCAGGGACAGGGAGGTGGTTGCCCCTCTCTCCTCTGCCCTAGGCGGGCCCCATCTGGAGTTGTGCGTCCAGCTCTGCAGCCCCCAGTACGGGAAAGGTGTCGAGCTGTTGGGGAGGGTCCAGCGGAAGGCCACAAAGATGATCAGAGGGCTGCAGCACCTCCCTGCAAAGACAGGCTGAGGGAGCTGGGCTTGTTCAGCCCGGAGAAGAGGAGGCTGCGAGGAGACCTCATGGCAGCCTCCCAGTATTTAAAGGGAATATATAAACAGGAAGGGAATCCACTTTTCACTCGGCTAGGTAAATAGCGATAGGACGTGGGGGAATGGTTTTAAGCTCAAGGAGGGCAGGTGTAGCTTGGGTGTCAGGGGAAAGTTCTTTACTGAGAGAGCGGTGAGCTGCTGGAACAGGCTGCCCAGAAACGTGTTCGAGACCAGGCTGGATGAGGCCCTGGGCAACCTCCTTTAGTACCAGACCTGGAGGTTGGTGACCCTGCCTGCGGCAGGAGGGCTGGAAATCGATGATCCTTGCGGTCCCTTCCAACCCAAGCCATTCTACCATTCCGTGATCCTAATTTCCAATTGTCTGCTTTGACAGATGAGAGTGCCGATGCTACAGACATCAAAGGCTCGAGCTGCCTTTTGCTTTTGCAGAGGTGCAGATCAGGAATGTAATGTCACGGCAGAAACGGCTTCTTGGGTGCTAAGTGAGGACACAACTCGGCCTCCTGGTCTGTGTGAAGCACAAGGAGTACGTTACGGCTCCTGCGCCTCCCCTCTGTCAGCGCATCCCCTACAGCTGCCGATGGCGCACAGCCAGGCTCAGCCCGGGGACGCGGTGCCTCCTGTTTCCCGAGCTCCTGCCAGCAGCAGCCTGGTGGTGCTGGTGGTGCTCTGGGGCCTCCGAGCCCTGCGACTCCAGCTCCGAGACTCGAGCCCGCAGCGCGGGGGGGCCAAAAACCTCGCGTCGGCGTGCAGAGCCTCCTCGTGCGGCGCGAACTCGCGATTCGAAGACTCCCAGCGCCTTCCCGACGATCCAAGGCCTCCGAAGCTTCCCGTCCCGCTCTTCTCGGCCGCGACTGCAGGTCCCGGCGGCCTCCTCCCGGCGGCCCTGAGGCGCGGCGCGAGCTGGAGAGCGCGGGGCTCGGTGCGAGAATCCGCGGCCGCCGTGCCGGGCCCGAGCCGGCGCCGGGAAGCCCGCAGCCTCGTGGGAGATCGGCCGAGAGCCTCGGCGGGGGGCTCGCCGCCTCGTGCGTGCTGAGCGAGCCGTGCTTGTCGGCGCGGAGCGAGGCGGGGGGCCGGAGGCCGGGTGTGGGCGCTCTGGGCGGCGCCCGGCGCTCCTTCGCGCGCTCCGCTCCGCTCCGGCTGCCTCCCGTCCCGGCCTCCCGCGCGGCTGAACGCGCCGAGGGAGAGCGCTTGGAGACGCTTTCTGCTTCCAGGCGGCTCGCTGTGGGCAGCGCTTCTTGGGCAGCACGCGTGTGCAATAACGCGTCCCAGAGCAGGTGGCAAACCCGCTGCCGGCGCGCTGCTTTCCGGCGGAGCGCCGCCCGTAGGCGCTGCGTGGCAGCGTGCCGCGGGGCCCGGAGGATCCCGGCGCGGAACAGAACGCCCTTGTCTTGGAACTCAGCTGATAGCGGGCCTGACGTGTGGCCCTGCTCCAGGAGGGCTGCCCGGTCTTGGAACGACTTTTGAAAGGCATGACAGAAGGCACATTGCACTGGGAGTGTTAGCGGAACACACCGGGTGCAGGAAGAGAGCGGCGGGCTGCTTCTCTGGGCAGTTGGACCGACTAAGTAAAGGGTGGCCATCCCGCTTAGGAGCAGCGGCAGCACTGGTATTGCTCGCACAGGAGGCGTGACGCCGGACTTTGCGACAGAGAAGAGTGGCTCACGCGCTCGATGGGCTGCGTCACCCCAAGCCTGGCAGCATCCCCAGAGCAGCAGCAGCCCTCAGACCTGAGGCACTGCCCGAATGCAGGAGGAAAGCCCGGGTCCCGGCCCACCCACAGCCGGCAGCAGCCGCGGGTCTGCCCTCATTTACCAAATGCAGCAGCATCCCCAAGATGGCAGAAACACCCCCAGAATGGGCTGCAGCTGCCAGCCTGGCCTCCGCCACGTTGTGCGTTGGAAACGTTGCGCCTGCTGGAGTCTGGGCCAGAACCCAGCTCAGCCTGAACCGGGCTGGGGGGAGGAAGGAGTGGGTTGGGTGCTGGGGAGAAGAGATGCCCGTGGCCGCAGCCCCTAAAGCTGCCCACCTCGGGAAAGGCGGAGAAGAACCAAACTGACAGTGGCATGATGGAACTGTCACTTTTATTGATGGATTGTGGTGACTTTACATAGCAATTGGAGCTGGCACATGGCTGCTTCTGCAGCATCAGTGGGGCCGGCGGTTGATGTTCTGGGCCCGACGTGGAACCCAAGAGCGGCTTCGCCCCTGGGCTGGCCTTCACCGCCTGGACCGGCTCCTGCGGTGACTGCAGCCGACTGCTCAGGAGTGCCTCGAGGACCGAGATGTCCCTTGGCTGGCAGAGGTCAGGTGCTGCTTTTGGTACTTGGGGCTGCAGCACGGCTGCTCACATAGCATCCTTGGAGCTCGTTGCATGCATCGTCAACGCGATGTAAACGTGAGCACATTCTCTTCCATTTTATCCTGCGCTGGCTGGACAGGCCTCTGCTCTCAGGCACCTTGTTACTGTGAGCCGACCCCGATGGTGCCTGGCTGGTGATGCTGGAGCTGCTGCTCGTCTGCAATGTCACAGGGCCTTGGAGAGGCCCGTCTCCCTGTTGGATGGCAGTGCTGGGGCCAGCGCTGTCCGCATTGCTGCTGGAGGCTGCAAGGGAAGGCAGGAAGATGAGTGGGATGGAACTCCAGCCCTGGGGAGGGACAGACTCCCATCGCTCCTGGGCCAAAGGGACTGGAGCAAGATCTCGCCTTGCCCCAGCCCAGCAGCACGTGGCTGTTTGTCTCTTACAGGTGCCCTCTCCAGCACAGGCGTTACACTCCCAGGCCTTTGTGTTCAGGCTCAAGTAGGAACAGCGCCGATGGGTGCCTCGCGCAGCACAGGAGCTGCAGATGAGCAGCTGCCAGGGCCTGGGGAAAACAAGAGGATGTGGCCGTGAGGACAAAGTCAGCTGAGCCAGGCAGCGCCCGGCACGGCTCTGGTGCTCAGTTTGTGCTCTCCCAGCCTGTGGTGAGGCTGCGATCCCACGCGGAGCCCCAGAGGGCTGCTGAGGGAACTCACCCCTCTCCTGCTCGGTCCCTGCCGTGGGGGTAACGGCACTCCCTGGCATCGCAGCGCTTGTGCTTGTCTCCCTCTTGTACGTATGAATTGTTGTCCCATATTGGTCCTCTGCCAGAGAAAGGAAGAAATCTGATGAGCAACCAGTGCCTCTGTAGTAAGACGGACCCAGGCCGTTCCTGCTCTTCCAGCCCAACACCGTTTCCAGCTTCTCCATGAAGCTGAGGCCAACGCTGTTGGCGGCAAAGATCCAGGCCTGCTTAGGCCATCTCTGGGCAGGCACAGCTCTTGTGCACTCAGGCCTGGAGAACCAGGAATGGGGTACCAACCTGGATGGGATACGGATCCCCATGGCGTTCATATAATCAAAAAATTCCTCCTCATCTTTGCAGTGCGGACAATGCAAAGTAATGCCCGCACACAGGGCCCGTCTCTGCAGCAGAAACAGAACAGGGTGAGTGTGAGCCAGGCCTGGTGCTGCTGAGCACCTGCCGTGCTCATGGGGTGAGGAGAGGGCTCCCACCTGGATGCAAGCCCGGTGGAACCAGGCGTGTTGGCAGGCTGGGCACACCATGGTGCTGTAGGACACGCTGTCCCCCACGGGGTCCATGCAGATGGTGCAGGTCGTGTCCTGCGCCGGCGCTGCCTCCACTGCCTGATGTGGACGATGCACCCAGCAGAAGGACCTGGAGGAAGATGGCAGGGACGGGCAAGGTGAGAAGTGCTGCGAGGAGGGCAGAGGAACGGGAAGGAGCCCCAGGCCTTGGCTCTGGCTCTGCCAGGCTGCTGGGAGGCGTCACGGCGCGCTCCTCGCTTCTTTGGCTGGTGCTGAAGCAGGGCTTGGAGGCCCGCAGGCGATGCCTGGCAGCCCTTACCTGTACTCTCCAAAGTACTGGGTGACGCATTCACCCTTGGAAGCGCAGGGGAGATGGAAGCTGCGGTCGCAGCCCGGCTCCGCGCAGGTGATGAAGGCCCCCAGATTGCCACAAACGAAGCAGAGCTGTAAGGAGCAGAGCATTTCCCATCAGCTGCAGGCTCAGGGCCTACGCAGCGGGCCCCGCAGCTCTGTGCAGGGCACGGGATGGGGGCAGGGCTGGCTGGCACTCTGCAGAGCTGCCTGCTGAACAGGGCTGGTCTGCAAGAGCAGGGATTTCTCTTGGGGTTGGCTGGAAGGGCAGGGATTGTGTTCTTGAGACCAGGCAAAGCTCAGCCGTGCCTCCGCTGGCACCAAGCTCCCTGTTCCGGTCCGGTGCTCACCGTCTGCTCTGCCTGCACGATTGTGCGTATAATCTCAATCCTGCTTAAGTCATCATTTCTCTTCTGTCTCGCTGCTCCTTGAAGAAGGCCACCCACAAACAGCTGTATGGGAAAAGAGCATGATCTTGTTATGGCAGAAAGGAGGGAACCACTGTTTGGAGGATGGTGGAAGGAGCCATGAAGGAACTCACTGCACAAAACTGGTGGAAATAGATCCCACTGATGATCAGTTTGCGCCCATAGATGTCTTTGTCAGCATCTCCCTGACCACAGAGCACGCAAGCTGGAGAGGAGAGAGGAACAGCAGTGAGCGCCTTGCGGGGCCAGGTGCCCTGGGGGCTGTCCCAGGGGCTGCTGTGTGCCAGCTGTGCCAGCTGAGGGGCTGGCCAGAGGCCATGGAGGGGAAGGGACACTGCAGGCCCAGCAGTCCCAGCAGGCGGCCACAGCCCAACCACGGCATCCCTCTGCCCAGTGGTGGGGAGCTGTGTGCAGCGATACGTACTTTCACCCATCTGCCATGAGCTGGCAGGCTTCTTTGTCCCCTTGGACATCATGTGCACAAACGGCGAGCACTCGCAGAGTGTCTGTCCCAGCAAAACCAGGCTTTCTCCTCCGCGTGACAACCTAGGGGAGAAGCGGGACGAGGCTGAGTTCTCAGCTCCGGCCCCGAGCGCTGGGGAACCCTCCTCCCTGGGCAGCCTCAGGCAGCCCCTTCCTCCCTGCTCACCTCACCAAGTCGCACTGAGCTCCGCCTGGGCCCCGCAGCCTTGGCTCTGTTCTGCACCCCGCGTGTCACAATGGCCATTCCGTGCCACCCTCTGTGACGCCATCACACCTCACAGGGGCTGAGGGCACCCAGGCAGCAGGGCGGAGGCTCTTGCAGCCAGCGCAGGGCGAGGGGCCCGGTGCCGGACGCAGCCCCGCTGGAACCCGGCGTGTTGGTGCTGCTGAAGGCACTGGGCGACACGTCCACCTTCATGGCCCCACCTGAGTGCTGCTGGGCCTGTGGCTCCAGCAGTGTCCCAACCAAGCGCTCGGCTGTTCCCATGACTTTTTGTTGCTTGCTGCTCATTACCTCTCGCTACAATAAATGACTCGATTCACAGAATCACAGCGTCTCGGTGGTTGGCAAAGACCTCCAAGATGACCTAGATCAGCAGTGGTAGGGTGTGTGTGTGCTGTAATACAAATGAATACTGCTTGTGTGAGGTTTCTTCTCTGAGTGCTGCAGGGCAAAAACAGCGTGGCTGCCCACCACAACAGTGAGGCTGAGGTGGAGATGCACAGGGGTGAGCCATGACCTCCTGGGATGATAGGTGCACCCAAATACACTCAGGTCACCTAAACCTTCAGGTTTTGGGCTCAGGGTCTCCTTTTTCATTACAGAATCCTTGTCCATCAGGGCTCTGAGCCTCTGTCTTGGATCCAAAGATGTCACTGTATTGTTTACATGCTCCTTTGGACGTCCCAGGCTGTCACCTTCACAGTACAGTGCCTTAGTTTTAGTTTTAAGACCCTCCATTTCATTTTAAGATGTAGAACCACATTCTGAGGCTCCCAGTGCTTTCCTCAAGAGGAAAACTCCTTTTTTTTTTTGTTTTTTTTTTTGTTTTCTGAGCTCCCAAATCCTCCTCCTAGGAGCCTGAAGTTTAGGGCCAAAAGCCTCCTTTCAGAGAACCAAACACCCAATTTCAGGGATCAAAGCATCATTTGGGGATCCGCCCCGAGGTGGAGAGTCCAGATACCCGGTTCTAAGGGCTAAGGCTACACGTTGAGGTGCAGACCATAGTCTCTGGGGCACAAAGCCTCTTCTCAGTCTCCAGATAGCTTTTTTTGCAGACCCAAAGGCACGGTTGTAGTGCTCTGAGCCTCTTCTGTAGTGCCCAGTGTCTCTCCTGTAAGACCAAATCTGCTGCTTTGAGTTCAGAGAACCATTCTTGGTTCTCATTCTTTTCAGACCCAGCATGTCCTAAGTGGCCTCAAGCCCCCTTTTTGAAGGCCTGAAGTTGCATGTTGGGGGCCAAACCCTGATTCTTAAGGCTCAAAGTCTCTTTTGGGGATCAAACTGCCATTTTGAGAGCTCAAAGCATCACTCTGGGTAATCCAAAGCTGTTGTTTTATTGCCTAAACCTCCATCTCTGTTTTTAACGGTCAAAGCCTGATTTGCACAACCCTGAGCTTCAGGCTCACGTACTGAGCCAGCACAGGAGAAGATGCACAAGGAGCAGAGCTGAGCTGCAGGTGGGAGGAGATGCACGAGGAGCAGAGCTGAGCAGGAGATGCGTAAGGAGCAGGGCTGAGCAGAGGGCAGGAGGAGATGCCAGGAGATTTCCAGGGCGCTCAGCTGTCTGCCTGTGAGGAGCGCCACCAGTGCCACACACTGTGGAGCCTGGAGAAAAGCTGCCAAAAGCCGAAGCCTGATGGTGGTGGTGGCCCTGTCTCTCTCAGGATCCATGCCGTCTGAAGGGACTGCAAAGATATGGATCCACTGGGGTCTCGCAGCACACTGTGAAGGCCTGAGATAACAGAGGAACAGAGGCGCTATGATAGCCATGTACCTGCAGGACGCCCAGCTCTCCTCACCAGCAGAAGGGAGCAGGGGACAGGCATGTCACCTGCCGACTGCGCCAACATCCCGCTCCCTGGCTCACCCTGGTAGATGTTCTCTCTCTCAGCCTGCTGCTGATCCCTCTTGTGCTGCCCTAAGAGTCCTGGTAACATAAACCCCATCAGCGACCCCGGCTGCTCCCTGTGTGCAGCATGGAGGGCCGGGCACAGGGGAAGCTCAGTCTCGTGGCTCACCGATGAACCTCACGGCCTCCCGCCGCAGGGGCTCCTGCGGGCTCTGTAGGTAGAGCAGGCTCTGGCCCAGGTAGTCCTGTGCTGCGCTCTTCCTCCTCTCCACCAGCTGGAGAGAAAAGGGCACGGAGTCAGCGCGGAGCAGAACTGAGCCCGTCCTGGGCTGTGGGAATGCGCATACCAGGCACTCGCCGATCTGCCAGAACTGCGCCACCTCTGCCAGGCGCTGCAGCCGCCTCCAGCGCAGGAACCGCGTGGCACCAAGGAAGGCTTTCTGGGAGGCCTGCCAAACGGCTGAGATGCCACTGCAGTCCGAGCAGAGGCAGAGCCCGCGATCCTCGCAGCCCCTCCGCAGGGGGGATGCGGCTGCAGGGCTGACGCTGCCGTGGGCTGCAGCACCCCTGTGTTTGGGGGGCACCGCAGGGGCGGCGCCGCCCTCCCCCAGATGAACACACTTCCCACCTTGGCCACGCTCTCTTCCTCGTCGTGCAGGTGCAGATACAGCGGGACCAGGCTCCTGTACACCTCCTTCCGCATCTTCCTCTTCTCTCTGCCCTCCACAAAGCTCAGCGTGTCGAGGAAGAGGTGCATGGAGAGCTGGCGCACCGTGCCGGACTCCTGCGAGGAGGAAGGAAGGATGTAAATGTCAGCTCCAAGTCTACTGTGAGCAGGGCCAGCACCGCCAGCGTGGGGACACTGGGGTCACGGCCACATCCCTAGCAAGCTGGGCTCCCTGCTCCCCTTACGTCCTCAAAAAGCGCTGGGAGATTGGCGGCCAGCTCCAGAGCCACGATGCTGAGCTTCCCCCTCTCCAGGAGCCGCAGCAGGGTGCTGAGCACTGGCAGGGCCACGGCGCGGGCGCCGCTGTCTGCATCCTGCAGCTGCTCCATGATGCACGGCAGCAGGCCGAGCATTTTCCTCGCCTGCGGGAAAAACAGCCCAACAGAGACCATTGCTGGGGCAGAACGGCTCCAGCTGCAGCCTCCCTACTGGCTTGTCATCGTGGCACGGTGCCGGCAGGCAGGGCCGTCCCACACAGCCCCGGGGCAGCAGGCAGCTGATGGGCAGAGCTGCTCCTGCTCACCGCGTCCGGCCTCTTGCTGAGCTCCAGGATGCTCCTGAGCACCAGCTGCTGCGTGCCCACGCTCTGGCTCTGCAGACAGGTGTTGAAGAGGCTCACGACGCGGTGCAGCTCTTCACTGGGGTCCACGCCCTCCAGCATCTGCAACACACGCGGCTCTTAGTGCTGAGTCCTACCACCAGCTCAGGGCAAGGACAGCAGGGCACGGCCAGGCCTGGCCCCGAGGGAGGCAGCAGGGTTGCTGTGGAGGTCCCGCAGCTCCACGTTCACTGCTTCTGCAGCTGCTGCTCACCTCAACGAGGAAGACCATGGCCACCATCTCCCAGGAGCACAGCTTGGTGCTAAGCAGCTCAACCAGCTGATGGAAGATGGGGTCACGCAGAGCACCAGGCAGTTCCCTCATCACCCTGGCAGGGATGAGAAGGCACCATCAGCCCTGAGCCGGGCGGGCACAGCTCTCCTGGCCGTGCTCTGCTGCCACAGTGCCCCAGGGGCCACAGGCTGTGTGCTGTGGCAGCACTTTGTCTGAGAGCTGGGGACTCCCCATGACACCACAAGGAAGGGCTCTCACCTGGCCACCACCTGCACGCCCTGGAGGTGGGTGACGGTGCTGAGAAGCGCGTCCCAGCCCCCCTGCTCCTGGATGGCCTCCATCTGCCTCTGGAGGCCCACGCTGCAGAGCAGCACCTTCAAGGCCTGCACCGCGGACCTGCAGGTGGAGAAGGGTGCGAGTCGCATCGGGAGCCCCAGCACCGGGTCCTGGGTGCAGCGGGGGGACGGGGATGCGGCACCTGATGGGAGTGAGCTGGTGCTGCCGGTGCTCCCCCCAAAAGATTTCCACCTCCTGCAGTGTCAGCTCCGTGGTGAAGGACACTTGCAGGAGGAGGGCCAGGAAGAGCTGGGGGAAAATGGCCTCGGCCTCCTTCATGACAAGAGGCAGCTGGAGTATCTCAGGGATGGTCCTCGCTGCCTGCTGAAAGCACCCGGACGCTGTCTTTGTCCCATCCCCCAGGTTTCCAGCCCACCTCAAGAGGTGTGGGAATGGAGGGACAAATGGAGAGGGACACCCCCAGAGCACCAGGCAGGTCTAGGAGTGTGTTCCAGTGCCCCAGGGCAGAAACCAGGCTTGGGAGTGGACAGGGAAGGGGAGAAGGGGCTCAGCTGAGCTGGGTGAGTGAGGAACTCACAGCTAGGGCGAGGACACGTGGCCAGTCCTCGATGGATGGGGATGTGTGTCGCAGAGAATGGTTTGTGAGCACTTGGAGCAGCTCCTGCAGCACCTTCTCCACAGCTGAGGGCTCCGAGAGCATTTCCCTCCACATGGTGACGGTGACACTGCGGGTCCCCAGGGCTGTCAGTTTGGCTGCCCCTACCTGGCTGATGGCCGTGGGGCGGGGAGGGGAGAGGAGCCCCGAGGGCCGAGGGCCGTGGGCCCCGGACCTGGTGCAGGTGGGGGAGCAGCCCAGCAGGCTGCTAACCATCTCCCTCGGGTGTTTGCCGGCCAGCACGAGCAGGGCTCTGCCCAGGCTTTCGAGAGCCGGCTCAGCTTCGATGGAAGGCAGGCTGCCGTAGATCGTCTTCACAATCTTTCGCACCTGGAGGGGGACACGTGAGAATGGAAAGGACCGGAGCAGGGCTCTGCCGCCGTCCCCTCTGCTGCCTGCTGGCCAAACGCGGTGCCAGGGATGGGGCAGAGCCCCGAGGGCGGGAGCTGTGGCAGCCGCAGGTTCCCACCTGCCCTGGAGGGAAGCGAGCCTCTGCTGCGAGCACATCCACCATGTGGGCAGCCAGCTCGGTGCTGTGCAGGCTCGGCGCTGTCATGCTCTCAATGGCTGTGAGGAAGATGCTCACCTTTTCAGGGTACTGAAGGTATTTCAGGAACATCTGTGGGAGAAAGGGGAGGAGGGACGACTCATCCCCTGCAGGGCTGCTTGGCTGTGCGGGCGCCTCAGGAGAGCTGGGAGCAGGGGCTGGGCTGGGTGATGCCTGGGGTACAGAGTGTGAGGGCCCCGCGGGCACCAGGGCTGCTCGGGGACAGTGCCTGCGCTCTTCCTGTCACTGCAGGCCTGGGTTCTCCTGTGGGCTCAGGGTTTGCTCTTTGTACCTCAAAGATATTTCTGGCTCGGTTCTCTTGGGAAACCTCCTGGTGGAGCAACATTTGCTGGCACTCCCAAAGTTGTGAGTTCTTGGGATCCTTCTGCCACAGCCACATTCCTGGAGAGGAGCGGACACAATGTCAGTGTGGGGCCTGGGCTCCTGAGGGTCTGCAGGGACCTGGCCCAACACAACTCCTCTCACTCTGGGAGGTGATGAAAATGAAAAGCTGACGGATAGCCTTCATCGCCTCATCTCTGGTCCCCTCATCCTGTGCTGCAGCTCCATGGATGAGGTGTTCAGCCAACTTCCCCAGCACAGGGAAGCGTTGGTTCTCTGTGCAGTGATGCCGGAGCACCACGGCTCCCATGAAGCAGGAGCACACCTGGGGAGAGAGGCAGCAGAGATGCACAGCTGAGCAGAGCAGCAGGGCCCAGCCCAGCTCTGTGCAAGCCTGGAGACAGGTGGGCTCCAGCTGGCTAGACAGGATGGGGTGCTGGAGCTGCGTGCTCCCTACCTTGGGCAAGGAGCAGGTGTTGCTGAAGGCGAGCAGCCTGCCAATGCACGCCACGGCCCTCTCCTCCACGGCCGCCAGCTGGCACGTGGTGAAGGGCAGCAGGAGCTGTGGAGAGAAAAGCTGCGGTGTGCCCACAGCACGGGGCGCTCGTCCTTCTTCTCGCTCCCCAGCTGCAGTGGGGGTGGGTGTTTCATCCCTGTCCTGCTGCGGCCCCGCCGCCTTCCCGCCGATCCCCACCCACCCCTCTGACCCCACAAGGGCCGGTCCTGGGCCGGCACCCCTTGCCCGCAGCTGGCCCTGGGGAGATCTCGCGTGGATCCCCCTTTACGGCTTGAACCGTCGCCGCGAATCCCAGCCTTGCCGCAGCCAGACCTCCAAGATGTTCTGCAGCTCCATGAGGACAGAGGTGCCTGCGCTGCCCACCAGCCCCTGCAGCAGGCGGTGCAGGGCTTCCATGGTCTGCAAGGAGGACGGCGGTCAGGGCGGCCGTCCCTGCTGCGTCCTGCTGGCAGCGGAGCGGCATCCCGGCGGTGGTGCCCAGGACGCGTCCCCAGGGCCCAGCCCGTGCGCACCTCCGTGTAGAGCGCAGCGCCCAGGTCCTTCGCGTCCTCGTGGCGAGGGAGGCGCAGGACGCTGCTGAGGCAGGCACGCAGGAGGCCGCTCTTCCGCTCCTCCGGAAGCGGCCACGCGCTGCTGTAAGGGGAGAGAGGGCAAAGGCGCGATGCTCCGCTCGGCACCCTGCGCCCCGCTGCCTGCCCCGCTCAGGGCCCCCGGCCGGGACCGGTGCCACCACGTTGGCCGGCGCTGGGCTGGGCGGTACCTCATGGCGGCGACGGCGCTCATGGCCAGCTGCCGCAGCTCCGTGTCCAGGCGCTCGGCGGGCTCCTCCTGCAGCAGCGCCTGAGGGCACGGTGGGACGGGAAGGGACGGGACGGCGCGCCCTGCTTGGCAGACGGAGCCCCGGCACCCCATCCCAGCACCCCTCCCAGCTCCTGGGGCTCCCCAGCGACCCCGCGGTGGGAAGGGCTGTGCCCACCGCCCGGCCCTGCGGTGCTCCCCTTACCTCAATGCACTGCGCCACCTCCAGAGGGCAGACGCACAGCCGGTAATGGGCACCGCAGTCCTCCGCTTCGCAGACAGCACGGACGGAGGCCAGAAAGCTCAGCTTCTGTGACTCTGTCTGAGACAGGGAGAGGAGTTACGGGTGCTGGCATCAGGGCACCAGCTGGGCACGGCCTGGCAGGGGCAGCCAGGGAAGCACAGAGTGCCCACTACCTGGGGTCTGCGTGTGCAGCCAGCACGGATACAGCTCAGAGGATCCTCCTCCTGTGGTGACATGTCCGAGGCAGAAGGATGCTCACTTGAGCCTGAGAGCCCCTGCGGGGCTCTGGGGGTGCAGAGTGCCCCAGGCCTCTCCGACCTGGCTTTTTCAGGTTGGCTTGGGAGTCTCTGTTGCATCCTTCAGTGAGAGAACAGCGGCAGGTATGGCTGCTGCTCCAGCCTTTCCTTAATGTGGCAAGGCTCACAATGACGGAGCAGGGATGTTCCATCACTGTGCCCTGCCCCAGTCCCACTCAGGACCTGTCCTCATGCCCAAAACCCCTCCAGCCCTGTGGGTCCCCCACACCACCCAGAGGTTCCAGTATGGGCCTGCAGATGCCCCTGCACATACCGAAGGACTTCCCCTGCCCTAGCTGCCCACAGCCTCCCTTCACACCCCGGCCTCTTGGTGCCAACCCCACTCTGGATCCCCAGATCTCAGTTCTGGTGCCAGGCAGGGCCCAGTCTGCAGAGAGTTGCTTGGCAGGCAGGCTCAGCTGGGCTTCTGCCTGCCCTGCTGCCGTGCAGAGCATTCCCTTCTCCCCACTGTGGCCTATGGCCATCCTTGACCCCAGGCAGTTTTGTCTGGAAGGAGCGCTCGACTTCGCCCTGTGCCTGTGCCACAGCTGCAGTGTCTGGGTCTGCGAGTCCTGCTCGGGGCTCTCAGCCCATCTGTGGCTGCTGGGTGGTGGGGCACTGCTGAAAGCACTGCTGTCCCAAGCCCCTCTCAGGAGTGCAGCCATCTCCTCCTCATGCCAGCATTGGCGACAGGCAGTCCACCTTTGCTGAGCTCTGTGCCCGCACTGCACACAAGCTGTTTTCAAGCTGTGGACTAGTTAAATGCGATTAATAAAAGGGAAAATGACTGAGAAAGACAACTTTGTGTAATCTGTGGAACAGATCTCCAGCCTGAAACGGCTGAAGAGCTTTGCAATTCTCCTGCAATGACCTGTGAGGTACACAGATCTCCCGATAACATCGAAACACCCTGGAAAAGAGCCCGGCAGCATTTCCCTGCCTCACACTCACCTCCCAGCAGAGCTGAGAGCATAGCGCTGGCACTCAGAAATGCCACTCTGTCCGGCGGTCTTCTGGGAATCCATGGAAGTGGGAGAGCCTTCCCTGCGACTCCTCTTCACCCCTGTGGAGCAAGCAGTAGTGCAAAGGAGCAATGAGGGCTGCCACATCCTGCTGCAGCCCTCAGCCCCAGGTCCTGTCCAGTTCTGACCCCCTGTCCGAGCACACCAGGATTGCTGCGTCCACAGAAGCTCTTGGCAGGTATGTGCGAGCTTGTCTGGATGCACTTCTCTGCAGTTACTTGGTTGCTGAGTTCTAGCACTCTGCGGACGCAGTTCTGAGCGTTCCCTGATTCCTGTCCCTTCTGTGGTTCTTCTTTAGTGCCCTCCTTGTACCTCACCCTGCTTACAGGTTCAGCCACCCGTAACAATCCACCACCACGGGTGTGGGCAGTTTGGCTGCAGAATGGGAAGGTTCTGAGTCCTGCTCTCTGAACACATGTTCCTGTCCCTGGACTATTAAATAAAAAGCCACTGTTTGATGGTTCATAATCCTTTGGTAGCGTCTGAAAGGGAATGCTGCACAGTTCCCAAGGAGCTTCCAACATGTTTCTTATCACCTTAACTGCTTTCCTGATCTGTAAACAGCAGCTCTCAAAAACTAATTGCTCAGCCCATGGAATCCATTGTCCTTCTCCCCTCCCTGCCACAGCCCAGCTGCGCAGGTTGTGCTGGATTTGAGCACACAAGTCACTCCTGGCCCAGGCTCCAGCCATACAGGGGAATGAGTTAACATGTTCATGTTGCTTCCCACTTTATGCAGACAGGCAGCCTAGCGATGATCTCTTTCATTCATGCAATTCCAATGCTCCCAATTGACCACTGAAGAAGCAGGGCTAGCTGTGCTATGAAGACCCTTTCCCAAACACAGGGTATGCCAGGATGGTAGAGCACAATGCGTTGTGGATCTTAAGTACATCAATCTCTGCCATTAGTACAGTTACTTTCATCTCTAACTGCTGCTGACAGGAGTGCAGTTGTGAAGCAACCATAGCAGAGAGGCTTCACTGAACCCAATAAGGGTTCCTGGTTTGTGGCTGTTGTGTAGCCATCCTGCACACATGTTCTGTGCTAAAGCCAGAGGGTCGTCCCCAGCAAACAAACTGAGGGTAGGATCCAACAACCTCAACCCCAGAGAGGAGCAAACACGGGGCAGAGCAGCAGCAGCTGCCAGGAGGCCTGAGTGCATGGGGCAGGCAGGGCTGGGCTCTTAACAAGCGTTCTTGACCAGAAAACAATGCCAAAAAAAGCAGAACTAGCTATAGACAAAAGCAAAGCAGACATCGATCTCGCCCAGCTCTGTGTCCCAGCTGCTCCTGCAGTACTGAGGCCACCCTGTCTCTTTGGAGTGGCAAAAATTGGGTTGAGTCTCCGTTAAGGACAAGCCAAGAACCACCTGCAATAAAGGCTGACCCTGTGGTGCCTTTTCCTTGCAGCTTCCAAAGCACTGCAGGGAACAGGGCAGTCCTGGCCAGCCACAAGATTTATTTTCCACTAAGGAAGGTGAGGATGTGATTTTTTGCCCCATAATCTCCTCTTGCACGGAGCAAAATGTCCTGGGATGAAGAAAGACCACATGGGCCATGAAAAGGGTCAATGCATTTTGGGTGGGTGGGTGGGGTGGGCGTGTTTGGCTCCCTGTTGCACCTGCAGTAATCAGCAGGCTGGGAAGGAGGGCTTAAAAAAGGAGAGAGTTGCCTCTGAGAGGTAGAGGGCTGGTTTTTCAGATTGGATTTAGAGGCATGCAGGTAGTAATGTGGTAATGCCTTCTTGTAAGGCTGTGCTTAGCTTGCTAAATGCTCCGTTTCTTTACTGCCTCTGATCGTGGCAGAGCAGAAGAAGAAGGAAATTGCCTAACTTCCCAGTTGTTTTTTTTTTTTCCTTGAGACTTGCTGGGAATTTGCTAATGGATTTTCACAGGTAAGTCAGTGATGCAGCAAAGTGGAGCTGCAGTTTTAGCTTTGCCCCTGTGAAGGGGGTGTCTGAGCTTTCTGTGCTCTGCAGGGGGGTTTACTGCTGATCTCATGGTCCTTGTAGGAGGTGGCTAAGCAGTGTGAGCCCTGATTGAGCGAGGATCCCTGCTGTGGGGATTGCCAGGAAAAGCTGGGTGACCTTTTCTAAGAGGGGATTGCATTTGTTCTTAAATTCCTTACTTGCATCATTGAATCTTCCCTGGACAAGTGTAGTTCAGAGCCTTGCATGCAGAACTTGGACTGTTCCAGGCAATGATTACCTGTAACAAAACTCCCTGCTTTCTCTTCTCCAGTGTCTCATTCTCTCTGAGATCCATGGTATGTCCTTAGCCAAGCCTGAAGGGAAAGCTGGGGTTAATGGGGGCATGTCATTCTCCTGTGGCACCTTTTGCAGTGTTCTCACCTGTGGCATGGTAAATAGGTTTAGGAGATGTGTGGAAAGAGAATGCTGAGTGCCTACAGCAGGGCAGGTCTCCTTTTCAGGATGCTGAGCATCACTGCAGCAGAAGTACTTGATGGACACTTTCATCTGGATGTGAAACCAAGGCCTGTGAACTCTGTGTGTTGAGATCTAATTTGGAGCTGTGAGCAGGAGGGCTGTGTAAGGTAGGACTTTGAGAGCACCCCTCCCAAAGCAGGTTGAAATGTTATAAACTGGGCTCTGCTGGACAAGAATGACATAGCCGTGTGCGGAAGTGCTTGTGGTTATGAGAGGCAATTAGGGCATGTCAATGAATAATGCATGTGCAGCTTAGGAAGGCTGGATGACATCTGTTTTATTTTTGCACCGTTAATTGAGAGTGACTGTAGGACAAAGCAGAACAAAGGGAAGGTGGGGAGATTTGGGGCAGATCATTAGGAAGTGGATGCTCACCAGTAATGCTTCCTGTCCGTTAAGCTGTAAAAACCTCAGGAAGAGGTACTGTACAAACGACCTCAACAGCTCCTAATCCACGTAACTCACAGAACACAATTCAGACTGTCAGTGACACGGTCATTTACAGAGAGCAGAGGGTAAAGCCATTGCTTGCAAATCTAATGGCCTTTCCTCCACTGATACAGTGGCTGCCTTGCACTTCTGAGGCTGAGTGTAGGTTGTGGGATATTCGTCAGCTCTACTTGTGCTGGTGCCATGGGGTGCTGGACCCAGATGGAAAATGACCTGGTTCAGCTCATACTCACCGTGATTCCATGCATGAGAAGTCAGTTGGGAAATTATCTGCTTTATGGACCTTATGGATCTTCCCGTGGGTTCTCCAGAGCCAGAGGGACCATGTTGGCCCTGCGATTAGAGGAACTATGTCTGCCTGCAGCTGGGGCCTAGTGAAGGAACAGCAGCTGTGCTCTGCATCCCTCTGCTTTGGTCTTCCCAAACATTCAGCTAGGGAAATTTCCCCATGTGTGGATGCCTGCCCAGCTCAGTGCAAAGCCTACTGCAGGTGGGCAGTGGTATTCACTCAAGCAAAGCCTGTAAGGGAGGGGGAGGGGGCATGCTGCTCTCTGTACCTACCAGGCTTTCACCTGTGGTCAGTAGCCAGCCTCTGGCCCAGGGAACGACCAGGGACTTGACCTCCAGTCCAGTTTGATAGAAACCACAGAATCATGGAATGGCTGAGGTTGGAGGGGACTTGAATGATCATTGAGCTCCAATGCCCTGCTGTGGGCTGGCTGCCTGGGGCACCTCCAGGGATGAGCACCCACAGTTGTGGGCAGCACTGCCAGTGCCTCAGCACTCTGAGCAAAAAAAATATTACCCCTAACATCTCACCTAAATCCCCCTTCTTGTGGTTTAAAGCCATTCCCTCTTCTCTTTTACTATCACTCTGTGTAAGAAGTCATTCTGCCTCCTACGTGAAAGCTCCCCTCAAGTACTGGAAGGTCACAGTGAGTCTCCCTGGAGCCTTCTCTTCTCCGTGCTGATCACCCCCATCTCCCTCAGCCTGTCTCCATAGGAGAGGTG